TCCCATGCATATAAAACAAATTTATCATCATTAACTTTCATTTCATTTACTTTTTCATCATCTGATAATTTATAAACCGTCGCTTCGGGGTCTGGGTCACATTCAGAATCGTTTTCGTTGACAATTCGATTGAATGTTCTTTACTGTTATATGTGATTAAATATTTACTATTAGGAGATACAGATATTAATGCTTTTTTAACTCCATTGTGCTCGGCATTATCATCTATTGTAATGCTTGTTTCTTCACATTTGCTCATGAAGAAATGCTTAGATTATTGAACAATTTGTTTTACAAATACATAAACGGTTTTAATTCGTGAGAACTTCAAAAAGGAAGGTGAAAAACCATCTTTATAAATAGATGCAATTTATTTTGAGGCGCAAGTACGGGTCAATTCTCGAACTGTTTTAAGTTACGGAAATAAATTACCGAATAATATATACTTGATAGGGAATAACTATATCGGTCTTAGTTATTATTGATATTGGTTTTTTATGTAAAAAATCTGTAATTGCAGGCAAAACTCAATTTTAAACGGTATGAAGCAATTTCCCTTCGATCGATCGAAAATAAACCATTTTGAAATATATTAAACTGATTCATGGATTAAACTTATTGTGAAGGTTTTGGATAATGAATGATAGATACCATGCTACAATTGATATTTTCACAGATGATATAAATTAGATGTTCGACGGGAAGGCTTAATGTCATACATTCGCTGTGCTGCCGCATTTCCCAAGATGATGATGATTTTGCATCAATTGAATGATTAAATTAATTCACGTGGCTATGTAATTATACGTGTTTGCCGATCATTTATTCACGTTTGGATTTATTTTCCAATTATTTAGGTTAGTATTAGGATATGGCATGTGGGATTAGGATTAGAGTAAGGATCATGGTTTGGTATTTTCCACATGGCGATTGTCACCCGTTATTTGCTAATAGTATATGTGACCCGGCAAATAAATCCGGCGTCCATTTTTTAAAACATTTGTGCTAAATACTAGGGAAATTGTGAACCGTTGTTTAGTCCGGAGCTAATTCACATGATGACATGATGAATAAGTTCATATTCAATAAAATGTTAAATTTTTATTAAACTCAAATTAATAAAGTTTATTTTATATCTTATTATTTAGAATATGATAAAAGTTTGGGTTATTATTTTATTAGAAGTATATTTTTTTGGCCTGTATACAAGGAGAATTACGATCCACTTAGTCATTTTTGAGTCAATATCTAACTAATAAATTATATGATTTAATTTTTTTAAATTATCTTTATTTTACATGATATTATTTAAAATGTTATGCGTAAATTTAATTTTTATTAAAGTTATATTTTAAATTCTATTGAAATATATCAACACTACAACTTAATATTGAAAAAACATATGTATATGATCACATGGAGGTGTTTATATGACTTACCCTATAAATAATATGTATAAGGAAAGTATACGAAAATAATACATTTAAAAAACGTATAATAAATGTAGAAAAACAGTATAATAAATTCGTAAATATTTCCGTATACTAGA